CCCAAACAATATAGTCATAGTAGTGTGTGATGTTTGCATGAAATTTTGCGAAGTAAAATACTGGATAATTTATTCTTATTAATAAGTCAGTGCCTGCACATGATTGTAATGTTTTAAATTATGTAAGAAAGGGTTTGAAATTAGCAGTTGAAGCTTTGCATTTTGCAACTTTAGGTGTTTGAATTTACAGGCGGGGTCTTCTCCCGCGTGGGAAAATCTTGCAAGGCAAACCAAAAACAAATGGATGCACGTTTTAGAGTATAAGTTACACTGTCCCTTTTGGTTTCTTTAAAATTCATACAATAAGGGAGTGAAATGTGTTTCAAACATTTAAGAGATAATTAAAGAGGGTTTTGTTGTATCGGAAAGCAAGTAGAAACAGGAGTATCATGTAATTTTTAAAAAAATAAAATTATAGAGGGTGTTAGGGTAATTTGCTCTTAATTTCAATATTGTTGAAGATCGCATTTGAATTAAATATTTAGTCCATATAAAATAGGTTATTTTTGTTTTGATCATCTTAAATTTGATTATTTTTTATTTTTTCTCAAATTTTGGTTCCTAATATTTAGTCCATATATATATATTGTTTATATATATTTTGGTTCTTTTATTTTATCAGTTATCATTCAATTTGTCAGGAAAAACTAAAATGAAACAAAATTTTTTTTTTACATAAATGAAATCGAAAAAAAAAATAACGAATAGTAAAATTCCACTATTTTATAGAGATCAAAAGATTATATAAGTGTATGTATGTATTATATGTAATATGTCCAATATATTATAATAAATATTATATATATATATATATTGTATATATATATATATATAACTTAATATAAATTATATAGTACGAGCACATTGTATTATATAAATAGATATAATATTTTATGCAATATATATATAGGATTTATGCATAGTACATAATATATAATAAATACAATATATATTATAGATTTTGTAATAAACATGTTATCAGTGTGTGTGAATACAAAATATATTCTCATTCAAATATTTTAAAATATTTGAATAATAATTATAATTTATATATATATATATATATATATTATAATTTAGAGACAAATAGCTATATAAATAAAACATATTTTGTTTAATTTAGTTAAAATTATATTTTTATAACTTTCATAATTAATAAAATTAAAAATATACTTTTAGAACATTATATGTAACTTTAATGAAACAATAATTTTGTCCTGTACTCTCATAGTCTATTTTATCATATTCACACCACAAATCGAAAAACAACTTTAATTAATGATATTTTTGTTAAAAGTAATAAATTTAAGAAACATTTTAGATTGATTTTATAAAAGGATTAAACAATGCTTTTAATTCGAGTCTAATAAAAAAATACTTTTATTTCATTTCAGATTATTTTCAAAATAATCTAAATGTTATTTTCAAACTAACTTTTAACATAAATTTCATATTATATATATATATATATATATATATATATATATATATATATATGACAATTA